CCACCGTGCCACACTTTTTACCCAATAGAAAATATAAAACAAATCATTGAGGCCAATTTTTTTACAGAGAAAATCCCGGAGAATGTTACGGACCTTTTGCCTTTTGGTTAGCATCAAACAACACTAGAGTTTCTAGAAAGCGCGCGCGTGCACGCGCACAAACACACACATATATATTATATTATAGGAAAATGTTAAGGTCATGTTACGAAACTATTATGTCGGTGTTTGTAACCGTTGGATCAACTATCACCGACGGTTACACGATGATCTAACAGTTACAATTCCCGACAGAATAATTCCGTAAAGGGAATGTAGCATCTCCATATACTATAACCGTTTTAATAGATTAGATTTTTTTTACATCATTTCTTGGTCTCGATTCAAATAATGTTAGAATATTGAACCATGCATTATTTTGTACAACTTCGTCATCGTATTCGTCATCTTTCATTAGTTTGAAACTGCTGCGGGTGACATTTTTCTCTATTAAATAATAAATAAAATTGTTATATATAACAATATTATAGTTTGATTTAAAATAGTTAAATTGTGCTAGTTGAAATTTTAAAATAGTTTAATTGTGCAAGTTGAATGTATGCACGGGGAGATGTGTAACTCTTAGATCATAATGTAACTGTCGTGTATAGTTGATCTAACGATTACTAACTCTACGAGATGGTTCCGTAACGGGGCTGTAGAATATCTTGTATGCACATTTCCGCTAAAACAATTTTTTTCTTCAAACAGACTTCGACTGCACACGTATTATTATTATTATTATTATTATTATTATTATTATTATTATTATTAAGTTATGGGGCTACACATTAATTACACGAAAGTACTCATGAAATACTTAGCTAGAAAGCTATCCTGCCTCAAATTTTGTGATGTCAATTGAGCTGCAACTTATGTAATGGGAGCAAAATTAGCTGCAAATTTTATCACAACAAAGTTCTCAATTTAATATTTTTTTTCATTAAATAAATTGTTTCTTTTGTTATGGTGATGAAAGCAAAAGCTGTAAATTAAGTCGTTGGTCCTCGAAACTTATGAATTATTTTATTATTCTTTAAATTATATGACCCAAAATTTTAGAAATTGTCTATATATATATATATTTTTTCTAATTAAGTGAAGCCAATCATTGATGAGCAGCGTGCATGGCCATGGGGTTTGCTTAACGCCGAAGATCTGCACTACACAGGCAGCTGATAATTGCCCCTTTGGTTTTTCACACTAGACTATATATTAATCCCACACAAATTTGTACCAAAAATATTTATTTTTGCAAAAGCTACAGATAACTGAAAAACAAATTCATAGATTTTACTTATTTCATTGAACTGTTAATTTAGCTCGACTCGTTTATTAAAATAAGTAGCCGAACTTACAAGCTTTTAACTAACAGATTCAATTAAGAGTTGTCAAACAACGGTTGTCGACTAATTTAGCTCGACCCGTTTATTAAAAAATAAAAAAATTTTGAGTGTATATATTTGTATACAAACACGCCCCTGGTCTTTTATCTCCGGTTTCAATCAATTTTAATAAATATCAAGCACTATTCTTATTTTATTACTACTTCCTATTTTTAATATATGTCGTTTTGAGAAGTTGCACAATAATTAAGAATATTTTTTTTTGTCAATAATAACCTTATTTAATGAAGATAGAGATGAATGTTTTGAGAAAAAATGAAGAGTGAATACGAAAAGCTATAATGTATTTATGGGCTAAATAAGGATAATAATTGAAAAATATGTACAAAAGATCCAAAACGACATTTATTTGGTAAATAATTGAAAAGGCTAGAATGACATTTAAAACAAACAAGAGTATTATTTTGTAGTAACAATTTTATGGAAACGACAGGTTATGGACATGTCCAGAAAATATGAAGGCTTGATTGGTCACATAAATTCTAAAAGCTCAACACTTTGAGACAACAATTCAATTGGCTCTTGACATTTATTGCACATAACATGACTTATTTTTTTTGGGCAACACACAACATGACATTTATTGCACATAACATGACATTATGATTGCATATTTGCATTATGATCCTTTTCTGGCCAATCATGTGCCCCTCTTCAAATATTTGCAAACCACATAAACTATATGATAAAAGTAAAAATGAATAAGTGCAAGGACTAAAATTGAGAAGCAAACTGAATATGTATACTTATATCCTATAAGTTCTCATAATTTTGTTTAAGAGCATCTCTAATGCTCAAATGTTGTTGTGGAAATTATATTCCACATCAACACATTTATCAATACCACAACTTTTCATCCTCCAATGTACAATGTGATCACAAATGTTGTAATTATGTGGACATAATTAATGTCTACAATATAGAGAAGAATGTGGTTCATCCACATTCTCTTCCACTTTGTAACTAGCCAGTGAAGAGAAGAGAGAGAATAACTCTTACCAATTCCAAACAATTATATATTTAATTAATTTTCTTATTATATATTATAAAATTTTATATTTGGTAAGTAAATAAATTGTAGTTAGACTACATTGTACATTGGAGATAATTTTTTAATTTCATAGTTGTAAACTTAACATTTTTCCTATATGGTCACAATCTATTTAATTTATTAACATTTGTCAAAAATTATTATACAACAACATTAGAACATTGGAGATGCTCTAAGTTAGGTTTTAGAATAACATATTTTAATTTGAAAGTAAATATATCTGTTTAGTAAGGATGCTATGAATATAAATTTGGGAAATTCTATGGTCCGTTATAGAACGATTCCATTAGGATTTGTAACTGTTTGATGAACTATCCACGACGGCTACATGATAATCTAACGATTACAAATTCCGATGGACATAGTTTCTCAACGGGACCGTACCATTTCCCTATAAATTAATTTTTAAATTCCTCTTTATATGGATAATAAAGTGATACAATCATACAAAGATGAAGATGAAGTTTTGATCAAGGAGAAAGAGAAAAAGGAGTAGCTTTAGTGAACTTTATATCCAAAAGAATTAGAAGATTGAAACTTGCTCCAATTACTTATTTCAACTTGCAATTTCCACCTTTTTTAAAAACAAATGAATCCCCACAAACTTGGGCAAGAGAATTTTAGTACAGTAACAGAGTGTAAGAACAGGGGAAAACAGAGCAATTTTAGTATGAACACAAAGAACATGAAAATAACCAAAATCTTATATTGTCCCCTTTCAGCTAATACAAACATAAAATTGTTTCAACACATCATGTGAAAGAGAGAGAA